TCTCTCTCTCTCTCTCTCTCTCTCTCTCTCTTCTTCGTCGTTGTCTTCCTGGCAGGTACGCGGCACCTCCTTCCGCAGCAGAGCTATGGCGGACTGCTTCTTCACGGTGGCGCTCTTCAACTGTGGTGCCCTACGGCGCGCGCCTCCCTCCTGCTACAACGGCGATGGCGCATGGGGTAGCGGGTACCAGCTCCGATACCAGTGCAATCAGACTCGCATTCATTCACACTTCACATGTATGCAAACAGGTTGCGCAGCAAACTGGCATCAAGCGCCCACTCAGAACTCAGAGATATAGTACCAAGAACTTAGTCCAGATACAAGTTCACTTCCACTGGCTATGGCGGCTATGGCCGCTGCTACTCTATCGCTATGGCTAACTTCCTTCTCACCCACTTCGTCCTCGGGCTCACTGCAGACCACCTCGCACAAGGCGCTATGGCAGCGCTTCCGCATGGCTCACGCAGGAATGAATGAATGGCTGTGCGCTGCCTCTTGATTTATACTTCTGTTACTCGTTGGTCTGCCTCTTTCCACCGGGCCCATGGTGCACACAGTCCCCCTTGGTACTTGCTGATTGTGCAAAGTGAGACTGGGACTGTGCACCGCGGACTAAGTGAAGTTGGACGCACCACTTGCCCACTTGCCTCTGGCCTTCTGTGTAAAACGTGAGAGGAAACTCGAAAGGCCACTTCCAGACCTTCCGGAAGACCATGGACTTGGCCGTTCAGTACTGTAGCAGCTACGACCTTGACCCTGCAGGACTGTAGCAGCTACGACCTTGACCCTTCGGAGGAGCTACAGCTACGACTTCTTGAACTCACTAAGACTCCTATCCGACAGGTCTACAGATCGAATCCCCTACAACCTACGGACCTAAAACAGCCTACCAACTGTTTGCGAATACACAGGTCACGGGTTCAAACACTCAGGGGTCAACTCGATACTGTACATGGGTAAGGTAAGGCCTGGGGATCGAACCCTGGGATCTGTATCTGCCTCTGCAAAGGTGAAAACCGTTTCAAGAGTGTTTCCATTGATTTTACTGACCTGGGCAAGGAAGCAAGAATAGGTTCTTGCAGATCATGGTCTGTGTAGATAGGTTTTTCAAGTTCCGAACTTTGATCACCTTAACACCCCATTCACCGACAGATCTGGTAATCCAGGAGTTTGAAAAGCATTACATCCTTGGGTGGTCCCCCCTGAAAACTATTGAGAGTGATCGGGACATACACCTCATCAGCTGGTAGTGGAAAATCTTTCCCTTCCTAGCTCTATAAAGCAGAGTCGGGCATGCCTTGAGGACCCCCATTTGGGAACTAAGGGTCAGGCAAAGGAAATGAACCAGACGCCGCAGACAGTAACTCGATTGCTGTATCACTCATTGTTCTTGATCACAACAGTCGGGCTGATGTCTTGCCGATGACAAGAACTTTGTACAATCTTTTCGTACATTCTGCTACTGGTATTACTCCATACGAGTTGCAGGTCGGTTGGCCAGTTTGCAGTCCCATTCACTTCTTACTGCCTGCCCAAGACACTGGTCTGATTCATAGCATGCCTGGCCACAAAGTACCAGAAATTGCTTGCTCGCACAATCTTGACAATGCGCGAATAACAGGATGCGATATTCAAGCACGTGATTAAGCAGTGCGGAAGTGCTACATTCAAAGAAAGAGACCCTGTCTGAGCCAAAGTGTCTGAGTTTTCCAATGAGGAAGGAGATGAGCATTGCTGACCGTCCTAGGTTAGCAATGTACCTTACATCTGTGTACGTATCTGGTGGTCTATGCTTCTCCGGCAGACCCCTTTGAGTTAGATCGGATCTGCAAGCACAAGGGGAGGAGGGACGTAAGCACGAATATCTAGTGCATTTTCTTTGTCATCCACTCGATGATCTACATTGGATTTCCCGATCGAAGTTGCGGACAGCTGCACCTCGTATTGTCAATGCATACAGGCGAGGACTGTGAGCATACACTTGCATTTTTCGCATTCTGTGCTTACAAGGTATTCTTTCCAGATCCCTAAGTTCTTTCTAGATCGAAGGGACCTCGCTTTTGGACCGGTGGGAGTGCAATGACGCGCACGGATTGGGTCTGAGATTTCTGCAGTTTTCTGAGTATGGCTGGTTGCTGGCTTGATTTGCTGAGATTTCTGTGTGATTGTTGTTTGCCTGTGTGTGTCCAAGTCTCTATGCGATGATTGCCATGCTGTGAGCTAACTCTGTTCTCGTGGTGTGTTTTCTTTGTCCCAGGGAGGGTAGATCAGAAATAGATAGAACTACATGGGTAGGACTGAAATTGGACTCCAGACAGACTTTTTGAAAGCCCAGGACGGACAAGAATGGAAGTAGAACGGGCAAGTACGCGGTAGGGATTTTCCAGCAACTCGGGCAGGCCCAAGGTAGTCCGGTAGATTTAGAAAGGTCCGGTCAGGGCTTTTGCTTAGGCAGCTTTCAGGTTAGGTTCAAACCCTGAGGTTGGGTTGCAAACTGCAATGATGTTCCCACCACAAGGCAGAAACTTGTGTAGGCCTAGTGCACCGGTAGAGGCAGAGTACCCGGCCAAGGAAGGGGTGGAGGGCAGGAGGCAATACTATATTGTTCGGTGCAATGATCAGGCATGCTGCCGCTCCGCCCAGAGAATGAGTTAGGCAGAGCTCTGGTTGAACCGGCGGAGCTGGAGGTCGGAGAGGAAAACCCCCATGGCTATGGAGTAGTAGTAGAAGGCTGTAGGCCTAGGCTATGGACGTAGAGGGAGAAGTCCCGGCTTTGAAGAAGGGAGTAGGAAGGGAGTAGAGGCTAGGAAGAGAGTAGAGGTTGAGGGGGAGGAAGGAGGAGGGAACTGACATGAGACGCTTACCATCGGCTGTGGTGGTCCTTCGTCTCTACCTTGGTTTGGGTTGCATCAAGAAGGCCCCTGTGGGGGTATCAGCTGGTCTTGGACTTCGTCCAGGAGTGAGGCTATGGCGGCACGAGTCAGGAGAGGCACATTAGTAGTTGTGTTGTCCTCTGATCCACCAGTGGCAGGGATGTTCCGCCATAGCTTGTTTGCTACCTAGAGGGTAGAGAGAGGAGGCTGGAAAGGAAGCTCTTTGAAGGCTGACAGCGAGCAGGATTACTTGGGCATGGTTCTTGGTCATTCATTCATTCATAACTATATTTAGTTGAGTATTGGAAGAAGAGGCGGAGGTTGAACAAGAGGGAGTTGGAGGGGAAGAGAGGGAAATTACATTGGTTCAAACTTGTGTATTTCTTCTTCACCTAACCTTGTTCGTTCTATTCTGCTCTTTGTCTCTTCTCACTTCTTCTTGAGTTCAGCAAGTCTTGGATTGTCGCAAAGCCCTTTTCCTCCTTGCATCTCTCATTTGTGCTGTGAGTGAAGCCGCGGCAGGCAACTGTGTTCTTTCTAATTAACAAAAATAGGTAATTGTGGTTGAAGAATATAGTTTCATGAAAACATAGGAAAGGTATTGAAACTAATTGCGAGATCCCAAAATCGTCAACACACCTTTTCCTTGAAGTCACGTAATAGCAAAGTCATTGATGCTGTAGTATGTTTCACTAAGAGAATAATACAATTGTCGTAATGATCAATATGTGTTGTGATGGTGATTCGGCAAATTCAATGATCTCAACTCATTCTATATCTGAAAATTGAAACTGTGTTTTGGTGGGAAAAGCGCAAACAAAGGCATGATTTGAGGAATGAAACACTAGAACACTAGTGTTCTTGCTGATTGCATGATCTCAGGATAACTTGTTTGATATTTTCACTCTTGGGCCGGCTGGGTATGTTTGCAGGTTGAGCTGCAGGAATGGTGGAACGGCGCATGTCGTATGAAGGGCCACCATCCTATCAGTCTGGAGCACATCAAGGAACTGAGAGACAG